TATAATCCCTTCGTCAATATGATCCGATCAATTACGAGATATGGAGTTGTGTCAATCTCGATCATCGATCATATCTTTCACTCCACTATTAAGTCAATATAAATCGAAAACTCCTTTTCGACTTATGAGTACACCTTGGCCAAGGATTTCATCATTGACTTAATTGAATGAAACGTAGATCATAATCTCCTACTATCTAAGAGTGACGAATCCTTTATTGATCAATCACAACCTTCATACGATTCTTGACGTACCCGAACAATGTCGTATTAGCGGCCCTTTTCAGAGCAACATCCAACACCGCCAAAGTATGACTGTCCTCATATAAGGTACCATGACGACCTCAAGTCAAAGGACCAATTTCACTACCGAACGTTAGAGATTAACCACCGACACTCAGATAGTTATCCATGTGGAATCTCTCGACGGGTCTCCAATGTTTTGTTCTATAACAAACATCCACGTGTTCATTTAAGTGTTACCACACTTTAACTTGTGAGATCAGCTACTTACTTCACAAGTAAGAAATGCCACACGTGATGGTCTATCCGTAATAACGATATCCGTATCTCGTTATTACTTACGACCACGGATGATTTAAGATTCAATCAGATGTAATTTGTATCTCACAATCACAACTCCTTGTGATTAACAAATTAAAATATTTGAATCTACGGACTCTATTATTTATTTAATTGTCTATTAATTAAATAATAGATCTGCCATTTAATTGCATTAATTATATATAAAAGTATTTATGTCCAAAGTCGATTGGACCTAGGGCATAATACTTACATTAGATATAACAGATCCCAAAATCATGCAAAACACGTATTTTGCCCATTTACAATTTTAGACTCAAAAATCAAAACGACAACGTATTTCATTTAACCAAACAACCCCGTCTATGGACTCAAAAATCAAATTCAAAAATTAGTTGGCCAATGGAGCTTCGTCTTCTTCATTGGTCTGGTATTTCTCTTCTTTTTTCCTCCTTAGCTCGGTTCATTCACTCTCTTCATACTATCATCATAATATATGCTTACATTTAGTGCATAGCTCCCAATGTTGAATCTAGTGATTGAAGGATGAATTTGATGATTTTTTTACCATGATGTCGGCATGGGTATGGCCGGAATGGCTGGTGCTGCAATGTGTGTCCTTCTAGGTTTGGAGGTTTTAAGGGCTCGTGGGTAGTATGATGGTGGGATGATGCTGGTATCGTTGGTGGCCAAGTTCGATGGCTTAAGTGGCGGCACGTTGAAGTTATTGGTGGTTGAATGTGGGGATGAAGATGAAGTGGCGTGGGTGGGTAGGAAAATAAATTTTAATGGTTTGTGATGATGGATGGCATATATAAAAATAGTAGCTCGCCTTGTTAGTATTCCAAGGCCTAAATAACTCAATTCAAGCTCTAGATAAAAAATCTCTTTTTTTTTAATATACTCAAAAAATTTAGATATAATTTGTAAAAAAAAGTTTGGGACTATAATTACAGCGATTTTTTTTTTTTTTTTTTTTTTGCAATTTTGACTGTTTTTAACATTTAAACTTGCGAAATTGGATGATAGAAGGTTTTTTGTACCTAAAAGGTTGTATTTCGAGCTAAAGATTTCAAACAAAGATCTTTTATGCTATTTTCAATACATAGGAGGTCTTTTTTACATAACGTTAATATATAGGTGTTTTTTGCTATTAAGCCTATAAATAGTATAAAGTTTAGTGACCATTCCACGGTTTAAGCCTTATATCTATTTGCTTGTGGTTTAGTTCTTTTAATGGTCGCTAAACTATACCAAGTGCTATTATTTAATAACTAAACTTAAAAATGTATTTTAATGATCGTTGAATATGCACTGTGTTATTCATTTATCAATCAAGTGAAAAAATTAGTTAGGGTCAACAAACGGCGTTGACTTGAATGATGAATAGGTAACACGATGCATATTCAGTGATCATTGAGCTGCATTTTTAAGTTCCGTTATTAAGTATTAACACATTGTATTGTTCAGTGAACATTCAAATAATTAATATTTTCTTGTCGTGGGTAAATTTTGTCTACGTCGTTGAACTTTCAGTAAAATTTCATTTGAGTTACTAAATTTTAATTTGTCACAATTATGTTATGAAACTATAATTCAATTTTAATTAAGTAGTTGAACTACAATTCTAGTTTCAAAATTTATCATTTTAAGCCTTGTCGTCTCACAATTGATATAAATTACTTAATTAGCAATCATATAACAAGATATCTTTTAAGTAATCGCAACACAATATGCCAACTTACCACTATATCATGACATAAATTTTTATTTTTTTTAGTTGAAGGAGGGTGGTATCTCCGAAATTTTATTAATTTGTCCTCACTTGTGGCAGAGGAATACCGTGATTACATGTGAAAATAATGAAAATAATAGTAAATGCTAAATAAATTAAACAGTAAAAGAGGAAGATTTATATCATGACATAAATTTGTTAGAGAGAGAGAGAGAGAGCACATCCTTTAACATTTTTAATAAAGATATTATCACACCCTTCATTTTATCAATGTTGCTTTGAGTGCCACATAGAAATTATTGGAAATTCATTTAGGATTTGGCTACCAAATCAAGTAATTTCCATGGGGTTGGAAGATGATAAGTGATAGAATGTGACAAAGTTGTAAAATTTGAAATTAAAGTAAAGTTTAATAAACAAATCGAGATAAATTATTATTTTATTTTTACCTAATTGATATTTACCCTCTTGCACTCAAATTTCAAACATCAATTTATATATGGCCCACAATTATTATTCTTTTCCTCCTTTTATTCGAATTTGAAAGAAGTGCAACTTTTAGTCTTTTGCCTTTTGTTTAGGGCAGGACCTTTTACCATTGTCCTTAACCAAAAAGTTACCCACCATTTCCAAATTCTTTAAGCTTTTATAATTGAAATGCTTGATGTTATAACATTACGACTTTTCTTCTAAAAAAAGCTCAATTTTTTTTATATATTTTTATTGGGTAATTAGCACATAATATCCTTACCCTTCACTATTACTGTGAAAAATGTCATTACCTTTTTTTTTTTTTTTGATATTTTTCACCATTATTTCTGTTTTTCATTGTGCAAAAGATTATTTTCATTCATTTTTTTCCAATAAAATGCTATGAAATAAAGAATATATCTTTTTATTTAAACAAAAATAATAATAATAAATAACTCATTACAACTATAGTCCCAATTTTATTAAAAAGTGCAAATGAGTATCAAATAAATTATTAAAAGGATAATTAGTACATAATATCCCTACCCTCCACTATTATTGTGAAAAACGTAACTATCTTTTATCTTTTTGACATTTTCACCTTTAATTACACAAACTATTATTTCTATTCATTTTCATCCAATTTCTTAATAAAAGTTGTGAAACAACGAATATACCCTCTTATTAAATAAAAAAAGAAACATAACAATTTTTTTTAATTTTAATTTTTTAATAACTTATTTGGGACTCATTTGTACTTTTAATTCTAATAATTATTCGATACTTATTTGCCCTTTTTTTAAAAAAAATTATTTTTTAATAATTTATTTGGAACTACGTTTACAATTAATTTTTTTTCTTTTTTTTTATTTGAATATGAGAATACATTCTCCATTTCACAGTTTTTTATTGAGAAAATGGATCGAAATGATGGCTTGTGCAATTAAATGTATAATTAAGAGTGAAAATGTAAAAAAAATGAAAGGTATGGAATTTTTTTCGCAATAATAGTGAAATATATAAATATTATGTGCTAATTCACTTGCACTTTTTAAAAAAATTGAAATTGTAGTTGTAATTAGTTCTTTTATTTTCTCTTTGTTTTATTTAAATAGAAGAGTATATTTGTCATTTCATAATTTTTAATTGAGAAAATAGATGAAAATGACATTTTGTATAATGAAAAGTGAAAATAATAGTGAAAGTGTCAAGAAAATGAAAGATAAAGACCTTTTCACAATAATAATTAAAAAGGTAAGACGTTATGTGCTAATTATTCTATTTTTATTTATATGGTATAAACTTTTCTTCCATTTCTAGATCTCTTATGGATCTTTTTTCTCGTAAAAGACTTAGGAAAAGGGCATAAGCATAAAAATGTAAATATATATTATTTCTTTTGACGATAAGAAAATAAAAAAATTCCAAACTTTTACTCTCACTTGTACATGTATGACATATTTGCCTATATGTCTGAGTTGGTTTAATTACTTTTCAAGTAAGACAAACAAATTTATTATCTTTAATATAAAAGCAAGACCGCAATGACGAGTAACTTTTTTATAAGATCTTGTATTTCTTATGCACAATAGTTTGAAATATGATGAAAATATAAGACTTATTGGATTAATTAAAATGCTAAATTTAGCAACTTGAAAATATTCAATTTGCAAAATAAATATCTAAGGGTCTGTTTGATTGCAAAGATAAAATTTGGATGAAAAAAATGAATTTCAGAGAATTGAATTACGTAGAAATTGTTTTACTGAGAATTGTCAATTGATAGTGTTTAATTGATATAATTTTCTAGGTGGAAAATATTGGAATAAAAGTGTCTTTTGGTATTCGTTTGACTTTATTTTTCATGAAAATTATCAATTTAAGTAATATTCACTTCCACCATTGTTCCTACAATTTGTTTCCATTGCCAACCAGTAAAAATAAAAAAAAA